TTCCGCCTTCTCCATGAGCAAGGAAGAAGACTAATCAAAATGGAGGCTCACCTGTTGTTCTAAACAAAACAAAAAGGCGAACACACAAATAAAAAATTTAAACCATTTCAACTTAACCGATTACTAACAAGGTCTAAAATTAATAAAGAAGCCCACATTAACAATGGGAACAAGTAAATTTTTCCTTATTCATTTTTTCCCACATTAGTCATGATTTTATAGACCTCTCTCATATCCACCCTTCATCTCCTCTTTTTTAAGCTGAAAAGTCCTACTCTTTAATAATGTCTTTTCATGTGGGACCTATTCCAAACTCAAACATTTTTGTTGGCCTTTTCTGAACCTTTTCCGATGCCAATATAGCCTCTTTGACATGAGGCAACCAAATCTGCACATAGTATTCAAGATGTGGGTGTTCTATGGATTTATAGAGAGGCAGTAAAATATTCTCTGTCTTATTCTGTATCCCTTTTTAAATGATTCCTAACATTATATTTGTTTTTGGTTTTTTTGGACTGCCGCTGCACACTGAGTGGATGTTTTCAGAGAAATATCAACAATGACTCCAAGATCTCTCTTGAGTAGTTATAGCTCAATTAGTCCCCATCATATTGTATCTACAGTTGGGATTATTTTTCCAATGTGCATTGATTATTTTTTCCAGTGCCTTCATTGATTGCAATAAATAATTTGGCATTTGTTGACTGTTGCTAACTAGAGATGAGTGGCTTCCTATTGCTACATTACGAAACGTCCCAGCCATCTTCAGGTTCATCATGCTCCAGAAGGCCATCTGTTTGCTCACTCCAGGAAGGTTCCCTAAAGAGATTTGGCTTTCCCTGACCACTGTCAATATTTCTCAAGTTTTGAGAGAGAGAGAGAGAGAGAGAGACAGAGAGACAGAGAGAGAGAGAGAGAGAGAGAGAGAGAGTCAAATCACCTAAAATCTCTGTTTCGCTGATTATGGAATTTTTCTGAAATACTACTATGAACCATTTTTGCCTGAAGAAAACAGTGTGGAAAAAAACTGTGTGGACTATTTGAACGTGAATTAAATTTTGATAATAAAAAGTATCAAACAAACCATTTTACAACTATTTTGAAGAAGGAGGAAAATAGATTTGGCCAATGTATAAACAAGAGGAAGGAGGAAGCGGTCTTGTGCAAAATGCTATCCAGAAGATCTGTAAAATCGTCAATTAATACTTAAATTAATTTTAACAGAAGATGTTTAAATTGATGGTGCCATTCTAATTTTCAACAATCCTGTGAAGTGAATGTTATTCCCAGTTCACAGGCAAACTGAAGCACAGAAGTTAAGTGATTTGCTCAAGACTCTGATGTGAGTGAAACACAGAATTAGAATTCTGGATTTCCTAGCTCCTAATACTCTATTTAAAAATTTAGAAGACTGAATCTGTAAAATCAAAGATTAAATCTGTATACTATAGTAACATGCTACCTTAAGTGTTTAGAAAACATTTTAGTGTTTTCATCTCTATTGTAGATTACCTTACATAATCTCTGGAAAATAAATTACATAAAAAATAAGTAGAATACAAATGCAAAATAGTACCTGCTCCAATTTTGCTTATCCCTGGACAGGCCACTTCCACATACACATCAAATGTTGTTTCTGGGTTGTGTCTGAAACAGAATGATATGTTACACATATTAACAACACTCTCAAAATGTGGAACTAAACATCAGTATTGGGAAAAAAAGCTTTTCAAGTGCACACAGAGATTAACAATGATGAATGTACAAATGCAAAATTTGCTGTGCCATATCTGATCAATGGTTCATCACCCAGTGCTCCGGTTCCCACAAGGGCACTACCTGTATTTTATTATTTCAAACAGTATTTATGAAAGCAAAAAACAGATCATATTGGGCATGAGTTACTCTGCTGTTTTATATACTCAAATAAATAATGCATCTTAAAACATCAATCAGATCATATCTTTCCACCTGACATACAAAGGTGATATTACTTTCAACCATTATTTTAAAGTGGTGTTTTCAAAGGTGCCTAAAAGCAACTACAAGTAACTCCCATAAAAAAAAAATCAATAAGAATTAGCCTACTGGAGTTATGTGCATATCTAAACCCCAGTCTTAATATACAACTAATCCACAACTTTAGCTATTAATGAGATCCCATGTCTGCAAATCTGAAGGGAGTATACTTTAGTGGAAAAGGAGACAAAGAAAAATGGTATAAAAGTTTTATGAGATAACATTACTTGGATTACAGCACTCCAGTTCTGGGTCATAAGTAACTAACTTGATTACAGGTAGAGATGTACAAAAGCAATTAACTGCAAATGTTACTTATTTATCCCTTTTACAGGATAAAACAAAGTCATTTGCTTGTTCCACACCATTTTCATTTCCATCAAGGAAAATACCATCTTCACTTAACTCAACTGAAAGCAGAGTGAGGGAATAGGAAAAGTAACCTAAAATTGACACTATGACCTTTGGTTTCAACCTGATGGTACCTATTCAACCAGCAGAAAAAGCAGAATTCGGAGTTGGGGAGGAACTCAAGTCATTTTGTGCAGTATAGACAGTTAATTACAAAGGTTTTTAAAGCAATAATAGTCCCCCCCCCCAAAAAAAAAAAGTACATCAGAAGAAGGAAGCCTGCTAAACAACCAGTGGGACTTTTTATTCAACAGAATTTCCATAGGTAAACTGATGCAATTAAGTACCTGATATAAAAGTACCAAGAAACATTAACCAACTAGTCAAGGTAAGTTTAGATCCCGGTACTTTTTCAAATAAATAGTGATACAAATAGCTGGCATCTTTTCTACCTGAGCCAATGGGAGAGGAACAATTTTAAAAAATGCATCTTTTGCTTAGGCTCCTCTATATTTAAGCAGACTACCTGAATATAACCCTCTGTCTTATTTTAGAAAATTTACTAATATTTGTCAGAGCCTGTGGGGGAGGAGTGAATACATGCCCGACACTATCACTTTAAAAACTCCAGCTCCTTATAGCCAAGTGGTGTATTTGGGTTCCCAGACTTACAAATTTATTATGCTTTTATATATTACAGATGTCAAATTGGTTCCAATAAGCTAACACCTTTATACCCACGTGAGTGGAAACTGAATAAATATCAATGTATTCAATTCCCCTTGAAGGTGCTCAGTTCTGTCCTATTGAGAAAAAATAAGGTGCATACAGTGATGGCTGAACAAAGGATTTGGGGTATCCTAAGGGGTACCATTTTCATCCTTGCCCTCATACAAAAGCATCTCTCCAGGATAACCCAGAATTGCAAAATTGAAAAAAAAACACTATGATTTGGAAGAACTATTTGAAAAAGGGCATCATATGGATCTCCCAGTTAGTCAAGGATGAGGGCTCTCTCTCTCTAATACTTAAGCAATGAGAGTGGCCTATCACCCTCAGTGGAGAAGCAGTATAATTCCTAATGTATCAGTTTGGACCAGATGCCATAGGACTGCCAGAGTCTTCAGAGCTACTGGGAACCTTAGAAATGTTTCATAAACTTCCTAGGCTCATGTCCATTATGTATGCTTTACTAATGACTAGCGCATTTACACAGCGTTGCTTGGGTCCTTAAGGAAAGTCTCAGGGCAGAGGAAGGTGCAGGAGTCAGGTTTGGAGAGTGAGGCAGGGTTCTGGGCAGGGGACTGGGTGTGTGTCTGTGTGTGGAAGGGGCACGGCAAAGGAGCAGGGGCACCAAAGCCACACAAACCCCAAGATTCAAATAGGGTTGCTTGCTCCTTTCCTTCCTGTCTTTGTCAGGGAGCAAAAGTGAAGTGCACATCTTGTCTTCCCCCTGTGCTCCCCAGGGAGCGTGAGGAACGCAGCAAACTGTGCATTTTCCCTTCACGCCCTGACAGAAGGGAACAGCCAACAATGCCCCCATATGTATCCGGGGGGGGTACGTAGGGGAAGAAAGGCTCAAGGCTGGGGCAATTCTGGAAGGGTGGGAGCACCCCTAGCCAGCCCCTTTTCACCTGTGTGATCCTTCTGTCTTTTTCCGATATGGTTTTGCAAGAAGCAATTCCATTCCAGGCACATCCCATTTTTCTAGCCTGACAAAATCCTTATGTTGCTTTAAATTAGGATAAAAGGAAGCTGTACACAGATTTTGGTGGTCCTAGCTCTTACTGTTTAGGACATGTTCTTGAACAGACAGACAAACTCTCTCAAATATACAGAACAGAAGAGGAACTCCATTGGTCTGGAATTCTTTGTGAAAGCGTGGGAAGGGGAGTTGACACAGCCCTTAAAAGGGCCCAAATCAGAGAGCATATTACGGAATGTTAAAAATGCTTCTGTGGATCTCAGGCTATGCCTGATATACTGCTAAAAATTCTATTAAAAATATACTGAATGCCAGAGACATTGTGCAAGATGCGGTTCTTGTCCTCTGATGTTTGTTGGCACTGTAATAAAGAAAGGAGGAACTCTGGTGCAGATGCTATGGGACTGTCCAGCAGCCAAGCAGCTGTAGAGAGAGTTGGACATGAGTGAAAACCCATGCTTAGCTTCAGCAACCAAACCTCAGCTGAAAATTACATCTGAGGTTATGTACCTAGTATGCTGACTTTAACTTTAGCACAAAGACATCAGTGCTTGAAGGCCACCATGATTATCAAATACGTAATTTTACAAAAATGGAGGAGTAGGGTTTATATCCAGAATAAAGCAGTGGTATTCAACCTAACTTACCAGCAAAAGAAAAAATAGCTTATCAAAGTAGAAAACAATTGTATTAAATCAAAGAAATTGGTTCCCATATTTTGACACATTTGAATGAAGATTTCTTTGCTCAAATAATGCCAGAATTCCATTCCACCTGACCTCTCCTTTTCCCCTCCCTTTTCATGCACTTCATCTCTCTCCTGTATTTTTGCCTATTAGTATATGTCTTTTTATTGTCATTGTTACTTCCACCTTAGCACTTTATGATTATTTAAAATGGTCTGATTTTGTGTTCATAGAATCATAGAATACTAGGACTGGAAGGGACCTTGAGAGGTCATCGAGTCCAGTCCCCTGCCCTCATGGCAGGACCAAATACTGTCTAGACCACCCCAAATAGACATTTATCTAACCTACTCTTAAATATCTCCAGAGATGGAGATTCTACAACCATCCTGGGCAATTTATTCCAGTGTTTGACTACCCTGACAGTTAGGAACTTTTTCCTAATGTCCAACCTAAACCTCCCTTGCTGCAGTTTAAGCCCATTGCTTCTTGTTCTATCCCCAGAGGCCAAGATGAACACGTTTTCTCCTTCCTCCTTATGACACCCTTTTAGATATCTGAAAACTGCTATCATGTCCCCCCTCAATCTTCACTTTTCTAAACTAAACAAACCCAATTCTTTCAGCCTTCCTGCATAGGTCATATTCTCTAGACCTTTAATCATTCTCGTTGCTCTTCTCTGGATCCTCTCCAATTTCTCCACATCCTTCTTGAAATGCGGTGCCCAGAACTGGACAAAATACTCCAACTGAAGCCTAACCAGCGCAGAGTAGAGCGGAAGAATGACTTCTCATGTCTTGCTCACAACACACCTGTTAATACATCCCAGAATCATGTTTGCTTT